CCACTAGACCACGTGGGAATAGTTACCATACTTAACGACAACAACAACAACAACAAAATTTATTTAAACACGATAAAAATTACAGCAGAGCTGATGTGGTCGTGTATTTAATAATCAACCTGATTATCCTGATTAACCTAATATGGTCGTGTTTTTAAAAATTAACCATTACTAAATGAACCTTGATTTAAAATGAACTTAATTGATCTAATTAACCTAATACGGTCAAATATTTGAAAATTAACCCAATTAACTAAAAATTAATTAAAATATTATTCATCAATAAATTTAACTAAGCGTATGAGGTTTTGTGTTTTAGAACTTTTTTAAATAAGCTTTTGCTTGATATTGCACGCGTATGATTCTCAAGAGAATTCCATAGAGATTTGGCCTTGTAACAGGTGGACTTACGAAGAACTTCAGTGTTTGGTTTTGGTGATAAAAAGGTCAATTTCCAACGCAAGTTATAGTTGCACTCATATTCCGTAAACAGCTTCATAATGGGAGCGGGTAAAAAATTATAGAAACAGTCCTGTGCCAAGATAAGTAATCTATGTTCGTATTTTTTACCAGTGTGCTCAATTGCATTTGGCTGAGACCAAATTACTAGGTGTGTACAGTGGTGTGTACCAATCGAAGCCATAAATGATCTTTGCYGCACGTACATGTATCCTCTCCAGCTGATCAGAGAGCGATTTGCCGCAGGAACCCCATACAATCAACCCATAGGTAATTGACAGATGGAAGAATTACTTTAAAATAAAAATCAGCTCTCGTTGTAGTAGGTAAGAAATACAAGGACTTGAGAAAGTTCAACTTTTGTGAAAAGGACTTAATCAACTCTTTTACATGAGCGTTTCAATTAAGGTCACTATCAACTTCTACTCCTAAACACCTAGATGATTTAACTTGAGTGACCACACTGTTCTCCAACAACACTGGTTGCAGCGGCCCAACAAACCGGCCACNTAAATATATGTTGTCGGAAGAGCTTCCTTTTCATTAGACTACGTATTCAATTATTAATTTACCACATATTCCACTGAAGTGCTCAATGGT